CCCTCCCTGGGGAGCAGAAAGGGTATGGGATGGGTAGGGTTTTAGTTGGGGGGGGTGGTAGCAGGGCAGGAGGAGAGGGAGAGAGACCTAGGATTGACATGTAAAATAATTTTCTTTCTAAGAAAAAAAGAAAGCATGGCCAGATAGGTCTGAAAAGTCACATGTCTTCATTCATTCTTCATTCATGTATATTCTACAAAATACAGCGTTCACCATAATTTATATGGGTATGTCTTACAAGAGTATATATGTGGACCCTGCCCAATGTGATAATGTAAGAAGTAGTATAGAACACTTAAGAAGTGAGAGGCTAATCTTGGAATACAGTGGTTTGGACTTTGATGGCCATTGCTCTCAGAATGAATTAATGCCATTTTTAGGAGACCTGGATAGTTCCTGAAAGGAGATGATATACTGGAGTAACCACAGGATCCAGGAAAGGAAAGAAAAATCACTGAGGGAGGGTGAGAAGGAGCTTGAGAGAGGAGAATACCAGAACCTAGAGAGGATAATAGCAGAATATAGTTGCTATGAAGGAGGAAAGGGGAAAATGGAAGTGGGTATTAAATTGAAGGTGGAAGAGAGGGGGTAATAGAAAGTGGGACAGGAGATAAATAACACCAAGGATATTTGGAAAAACAATAGCAAAACCTATTATTTTATAAGCTTACTTTAAAGTACTTATATATCTATACTTATAATTTTAATGCAGTTACCCCATACAGTAGAATGATGCTCCTCCAGAAGCCATTGACTGTCTGACTGTCTGTCTGTCTGTCTGTCTGTCTGTCTGTCTAACTAACACAAACCTCCAGAACTAGGTACAGGATACTTCCCTATGAATTCTTGTGCAGGAATGGGGTCCAAGAGACCCCCCTTACAATATAGGCTATTGCCACTGCTGTTGGTTACCTGCAAGAGCATGAAGACAGAACTCTATTGCTGAAGTCATCATATACTTCAGTTGCAAGACTAAGGGAAGTCAAGCCAGTACTGACCTGGAAACCTCCTCTCTGAGGGCTAATTCTCATGCTGTTGGAAGACACTATTCAAGTTACCAAGGAAGTTATTCACAGCCCTACTCAGCGGCAAAGCCTGAGAACCACAACAATGGCAGGACCAACAAGATTCCCCACTCAGTGCAATATTAGCACTTGTATCTTGGGGGAAACAAAGAGCTATCTAAGTGTACCTCAAGCCTCCTCAGTTGGAAGGAACTCATACCTGGTACTGTAAACCTAACCAGAAAAACTCTCATGACTCGAGAACCCACAGACCTTGGGGAAGAAGCTACTACTGTATTTCTACAGTACTATAGTTTTCTAACTACTCATTCTTGTATCCATAGATGAGTGCAGTTCTTACATTTCATCAAAATTATCAAAAAAATCATCTTACCTTTTATGCAGCAGATAGAGACTATTAGAAAGGTCCACAACTGGTCAAAATGCAGAAATTAAGTGACCATGAGGTATCCAGCCCCAAATGTGAAATCTATAGCTCCTACAGGCTGCTAAAATTTAGAATCTAAAATGGCATCATCTGATCATCTTCAATGGCTTTTTTGTGTACAAACCCATGCACACTCATGAACAGGCATGCACACACACATGCATGCACCACACACCTCTCCCAGCCCAGTACTTACCCACTTTTCACCCGCTCCACTGTACACATTAATTGGAGGTTTTCGGTCTAGCAGCTGAAAAAAGCGTGCAGCTGAGATTTTAGCTTTGGCAAAACTCGGGGTGTAAGAAAAGGTTCTTCCCACAGCTGTTGCACTCAACATAACTGAAGAGATCGACCTGCAATCAAACAGCCAGGGAGTGAGAGCTGGGCTGTGGGTAGTATGAAGGTCTAAGTGGCAAAAGCTTTAGGTGCTAGCCCCAAACAGCTTGATCAAGTCACTTTAGACATGTCTGGTCTTGTGGGAGTTAGAAAGGTTAGTGGCTTTCACATTGTGCTCTCTGTAAAGGGGTCAAGGGGTAGGCTGAATGGGGTAGGCCTCAGACCTCTACATCCTAGATCTGTCACATTAAAAACTATTTTTGTTGGGGGTGGTGGAGTGGAAGAGACTTTTGAAAATAATTATTTCAGACAGGAATTTGAAAGATGACCGGACTAAGTTGGCTTTTCTTCCCATTGCAACATTCCAGGAATCGCTTACAGGTGTGTAAAAGACAGAGGCAGTGGTGGGTAACAAAGTACCTATTCTATGCTGGGTCCCCTTAGAAGCCATGTTTCCCATGGGATAAGGAAAGTGCAATTGCCTGTGTCCTTCTGTTTGGCCCAGCTGCTGCTAACTATATCAACATGGACTTCAGAGATGAATGAACAAATGACTAAATGAGTTATGAGACACAACCATGAGGCTGCCTGGCCCTTGATGTTCATAGCAGCTCGTAAGGCTGCTCATCAACACCGTCTTTCACAGAAGTCTTCGTGGGGTGGGATAATAGGTAGGTAAGGGGTGTGCAAGCATGTAACTTACTGCTCAACTTGTAATCATTGACTGTTTCAAGGTCAGGGCTGGAAACCCACATTCTCCAGGAGCCCAGGATAAGGCTTAAGAGAATGAAAGCTTTGGGGATGAAGTAGGAAATACTGAAAGATGACTGTCTAGTTTTTAAAGCAAAACCACATATTGGAAGTTTTCTATAGGCTCTTGATTCTCACATGCTGGCCAATAATTTGTTACATACCTCATATGAACTGACAGAAAGAACTCAAGAGTTGCTTATTCCTGGTCTGGGTTAGCATCTTTAAATATGCAAGGATTTAGAGAAGAGACTTGACGTGGGGCTAGTGGACTAGCCAGAAAGCACTGGAAGGAAGGTGTCAGGTGACAAAATCATGCCTCCATGCCCTCCAAACTTAAGAATGTCTCTGCCCTCACGACTGGCCTCTTGTACACCCTTAGGCCCTCTCTCTGGAAGTAAGCAGACCCTGTCTTACAGAACAGAGATACCTTTCTCTAGCCTACACTATCTCTACTTAGAGAAGTGGCTAGAAATCAGTTGTCTTTGCAAGCTTCAAATACAACAGCCCTCGGGCCCATCTTCGTCCAGGCCTCGAGAGTCTCAGCTTTAACAAGTATAAATATAATTACAACAGGTCATCTTATGATTCATTTGTTTGTGATCATCTTTTTTTTTTTCACTTCAGTCCAAATGTGGATTTCATTTCTCAAGTCCTTAATCCTCGGCTTCATTGTTTCAGTTTCCTTTGCCAAAGAGTAAATGAAATATGGAGAGACTTGAACATGGTCACAATGTAAGACAGGCTTCTTCTGTTGAACATGACCCTCTAAGATAATTCATGAGGGAAATGAGCTCAATCGCTACCCAGGCCTCCTGGAGATAGACATGCCACCAAGGCCTCCTGGAGACAGACATGCCACCAAGGCCTCCTGGAGACAGACACACACACAGAAGTCTGTGAAGCAACCAAGCCCAGAAAAAGTATCTCATTCTGTAGACCTTTGAAAAAGAACAAACCCAGCTGCTTTTTAGAGGGAATGGTTTGCTGGGCCTCATGGAAGTAAAGTGACAGATCCAGGCAACTCTCCCTAGAGTGTCACTCCCATACAGCCATTTTGGATACGGCTTACCTGAAAACATAGCTGAAATGTAGCCCCTCCTCAGTAATTAAGTAACTTCCATATCTGTAGCCAGAAGAACTTGTAAGAAATGATATGGCCTGGGAAAAGGCAAAGCAGAGTCCATAGATATTTGCCTTCTGAACAGCTGTTTGGTATGACTTTTCCAGCTCAACTTCAAAGGCTTTAATAAATCTCCTCTCCACACCCATTCCTGCCACAGTGCGGATGCTGCCAAGGGCTTCACCGGTGATCTGAAAAGGAAAGAGTCTGAGGAATCAAAAAGTAGTAGGAGTGTCTTTTCATGACATTTCACTCATTGCACAGATTAGATTTGTCACGAATGGCAGAAAGTTGCACAGAGAAGTTGCTGGGAGTCAACCCAACTGAACTATGCGGTCATCTGTCACTTAAACTCAGTCCCTACCCAGTTCTAGCAAGGCTCCATTGCCTTCATTTACTGGGGGAAGAGACAGTGTGAGACAAGGTCTCCCATGCTTGCCCTGGACAAGCTTTAAAATTTCTCTGCTTTAGAGCAGAATTGTGGCTATTAGGTTTCAATGTGGGTCTTTTAACAATGGGGAAATAATTGGTTTAAGGATATAAAACTGCAGTTGGACAAGAGGCATGGACTCTGTGATGTCTTGAGGTCCACTGAGAGCATGATAAATATGGTTGATAACAATATGCTATACTTTAAAAGTTTTGAGATAGTATACTTTAAGTGTTCTCAAAACAAAAATGATGAATATGTGTGATATAACATGTTAATTGGTTTAATTTAGCCATGCCATTGTGAACATACTGTATTATGTATCATAATTGTGCATGACTTTATTTAAGAGCTAAATAAATGAATGGAAAAAATTTCTCTGTTTTGAAATGTCTAAAACACTGTCTTTGAAACAAAACATTCACTTAATACAAATTTAAATTACTAGAGACAGTTTTCTAATACGTTGCTGCCCAGTAAGCCATCCTCTCTAAAAACAGCTAACTGGAATTATTGGAGTTAAGTATAAGTTAATCTTCAGTCTATCTGGTGAGCATGTGTTTAAGTACAATTTAAGGTCCACACTTCATGCATTGGGATATACCTCATTAGAGATGCTATTTTCTACATTGCTTTGTATTTATTTCTAAAATTCTTTGTCTACTTGGACAGTGTCATATACTCTGTCTCAAAAGAGCTAGGGCAGTCATGAGTGAGTTTATAAAGCATGAGTGTGTGACTCAGGCCTGGTAGTAAAAGCCCAGAATACCAATGCTTGGGAGGCTAAGATAGGAGGATCCTAAGTTCAAGACCAGTTTGGTCTCGAGGGTGAATTCAAAGCTGTCTGGGCAACCTGGAGAGGCCCTGTCTCAAAATAATAGATAGGTAGACAGACAGACAGACAGACAGACAGACAGACAGACAGACAGACAGATAGATAGATAGATAAAGGATAGATATAAAAATTTAAAAAGACACTAAATAAAAGGATTGGGGTATAGCTCACTTTTCGAGTGCCTATGTTCAAGCTCTAGCATCAAAAAGAAAAAAACAAAAGGAATGCACACTATATGTGATCTATTGATTCCTCATCCCATATCTCCCTCTCTCCTTCCCTTCTTCTCTTCCATTGTGTTATTGTTATTTGAGCAGCATCTCTAGTAACCAGGTTGAACTCTAACTTACTATGTAAACTGAAGATAGCCTTGAACTTCTGATCCTTTTGTCTCTACCCCCAAGTTCTGGGATCTTGCAGACAGTTTCACCATGCCCAGCATGTGTGTGTGTGTGTGTGTGTGTGTGTGTGTATGTGTGTGTGTGTGTGTTAATTGACAAACATCTATGCCATCATCATCTCACTTATTCCTTGTGTTCAGATATTAATTCTAATATAATAAATAGAATACTTAAAACCTAAGTGTACTTGAATTCTATTCTGTAGCTCATGATTGTATTTGAGAAAGATATTTGCCACTAGTCTAGCAAACACTAAAGTGTGAAAGTTGAAAGTCTATGTTTTCTGTGTGGATAGCAAGACTCCAAGGAACCATGAAGCTAAGAAAACAACAACAACTCTAATAGAACTGTCCACCTCTGCAAGTGAGAATATAGAAAATGTAGGATGAATGACTGAGAGGAAATCAAACATATAAGCTTCTATGTTTACCACACTTTCTCCTTGCCTAATCAAGCTGAAGCATCAAAGCCTTATTGTCGTAGCTTTCAGCCAGAGGCACATGTGTCTTTTCGTATTTATCATTTTAAAAAGTTTACTTGACAACCACACAGCCATAAGTAGGAAAATTAGATCTATAAGATTACCTGGCCAGCCTTCTCTAGAGCTTTCTTTTCTTGAGATGCAAATCCTGTCAACATTTTCGTTTGTAGGGCTCCCGATAAAGCCAAGAAGGGGAAGAAGCATATTATAACCAGACTGAGCTTCCAGGCAAAGAGGAAGGCAATGACTATGGCCACAGCAATGTTAGTGAAGGCATTGACCATCATCCCAATTTGACAGCCAGCAGCCTGCAAATCAGAAGCAATCAGCCCATCTCAGACATGGTCTTTTTTACCAGACATTATTATGTGAAAAGCTATTTTGTATCAAAAGTTAGATTCTTTTATTGCAACAAAATATATATGACAATGTTTAGTTTTTACATAAAATACAAACAAGCAACCCCCCAACAGAAACAAACAAACAAAAAACACTCAAAATGGTGTGTGACTATCATATCTATACTCAATCTTTTTCATCCTCTCCATCTTTAAAACTCTTTACCTATCAAATGATTGCCTCACCTTCCTTCCCTGAGCCACTGGTAATTGTTATTCTACTCTCTGTCTGTATGAATTGTCTATCTTTAGGTATCTCATATAATGGTGCTATATAATATTTATCCAAGACTCATCTACATTGTGGTACATATTACAAATTCCTGTTGAAGGTATAAACATTTGGTTGCATGTATAGACAACATTTTGTTTATCTATTCATCCATCAACTGTTGTGAATAATAATTTTGGAAAATGATCATCAAAAATTCTGAAAATGAAGAACCAATAAGTTAGGTTAAAATATAGTTGGAAATTTACTAACAGACTACACCAAGTAGAAGAAAGCATATTCAATATTGAGGGGAGATTCTCTTAAACTATCATATTTAAACAAAAATAAGGAAAAAAAAGAAAATGAAGAGTGACTACAAGACCTTTGGGATGCTACTAAAAGATCAAATGTCTATATCATTGATTTATATGAGTTCAAAAAAAGATTAAAGATATAAAAACTTATTCAGAAAGCTTCCTTAACCTTGGGGAAGGCATGAACGTCCCACAAATAGGATCCCTATAGAGGCCCAGAGACATACAACCAGGAAAGATTCTCAACCCAACATAGTCAGACTGGCAGAAAAAAAATAAGGACAAATAAACTTAAACTCTTTAAAAGAAAAGTACCAAATCATAGGTAAAGACATTGATATTAGACTCACAGCAGAAACTATAGGCTAGAAGAGCATGGAATGATATACGTTAAGTCCTGGGAGAAATTACTGCCAATATAGATCACCACACCCAAGAAGGCAATCCTTCAGAATCAAAGGCAAAATAAGGACTTTCTACCTTAGTTAACAACTAAGAGTATTCTGGGCTAGCAAGATGGCTCAACTGTTAAAAGTGCTTGCTGCCAAGCATGTCAACTTGAAGTCAATCCCCAGGACTCACATGGTGGAAGGGAGGGAACCAATACCTGAAAGTTGTCCTTTGACTTCCACGTATGCATAAACACATGAATAAATAAGGAAAATATTGTAATTAAAACAAAAGGCAACAACTAAGGGACTTTATGACTACCAAACCAGCTTAACAAAACATGCTTAATGGGGTTTTATATCCAGAAGTGGAAGAAAGAAAATTAGCAAGACAGCATGTAAAAGTATAAGCCCTGTTTGGAGAGTGATATCCCTTTAATCCCAGCACTTGGAAGGCAGAGGCAGGCAGATCTCTGTGAGTTCAAAGCCACCTTGGGCTACATGGTAAGTTCCAAGACAGCCAGAACTGCATAGTAAACTCTCCTGTCTCAAACACAAACACACACACAAGAAAAGAAAGAAAGAAAGAAAGAAAGAAAGAAAGGGAAGGAAGGAAGAAAGGAAGAAAGGAAGGAAGGAAGAAGAAAGAAAGACCTATTATGGAAACAACTATTATGGAACAGCTATTATGGAAAACAACTGGAAGTTCCTCAAAAACAAAAAACAAAAAACAAAACAAAACTAAAAATGGCACTCACAGGATCCAGTCACCCCATTCTTGGATATATATCTAAATCTGTGGGTCTATGCTTATTGTAGAGTTACTCATAACAGTTAACATGTGGGATTAGATTAGTTACTCATCAGTAGACTTACAGATGAATAAAGTAAGGCATATACATCAAATGGAATATCATTAACACATAAAGAATAAAATCCTGTCATCTGCACCATGCTAAGTGAAATAAGCCAGACAATAGATGAACTTACATGATCTCTTTCATATGTGGAAGCTAAGAAAGGTGTGTGTGTGTGTGTGTGTGTGTGTGTGTGTGTGTGTGTGTGTGTGTGTGTGAGTGAGTGCGCATGTACTCGCACAACTTGCACCACAAAGGAATGGGGAAATTGTTGAGAGTTGTGGGTTATGGTAGATGAAAGGTGGAGGGACATAATCAATGTGGGACATATGCATAAGAATCCATTAATTTACAGACTTAATTTGTGTTCAAAAATAACAATAAAAGTGGTAATTCATTAAGATTACATATTGCATTGTTTTAAAACTCCCTTGTGGTAAAATATATAACAATGAAAATATGCTCCTATTTTTTAGGGGAACAAAGAAAGGCAGAAACAACCTACGTAGAGTACTTCTAAGTCTATGGAAAATATGTCTGTTTGTAAAAGATAAGAGAATCAAAAGAGATGTGCTTCTAAGAACCTTTAAGTTGATTCCAGGGTCATTGAATATTTTTGTATTTTTGGTTGAACTGGCATATTACAGCACTCCTAATACAGGGAGGGTTGTTTTTTCTCCCAAGTTTCCCAAATAATTCTGGTTTTCTTCTCATTTAGAAAGCAGGTAGAGATTTATGAGGTAAGCTTGGCTGTCATCACTTTAATCCCAACCCCTGGCTTTAAAAAGGTCCAGACTGATCATAATCAGCTGTGTTGTATCGCTTAACAAAGTTGTGGGATATAGAAACTATAGCTTTGTCTCTGTGGTTCCCTGGGTCAGAAATATCTCTCTTTGGATTCAAGAGGAGCAGGAGAGGGGGGTCTAGACAGCAACCACCTCTTCTTCCCCCCCCCCATTTCCCAAGGGGGATCTTTCAAAGACTGTTGGCAGCATCTCTCTGGATGCTCAGGTGAAGACATTTCCACACACCTTTTCCTTCCACTTCTAGGGGACCCAGTTGAGTCTGGTGAAATCCAAGCTTCTGGATCTTAGAAACCTCTGAGAAAAAATCTCAGTTTCTAGACTCAGAAGATGAAATCCCAAATCCTAGCATATTGATGTGTGTCATAATACTGATTCTAGGCACTGCTTTAAGGGACACAAGCATTAGCCATTGTCACAAGACTCTGCGTTATCCCAGCCCTACTAGTTTCATTCCAGAGGAAATGGGTAATTCTCAGAATGTTCTATCCTAAGAACATCTATTTGTGTAATACACCCTTACTCCCCACCCCCACATACTATAGCTGAATGTGATTCTTTAAAATTCATGTTGAAATCCCATTCTCCCTGCAGGGTATTATTGCTGGAGCCTTTGGGCATGATTGGATTGTTAAAACTCTTGTCTTCCCAAACAGAGTGAATAAAACCAGAAAAAAAAAAAAAGGTGACGACCACCCAGCGATGGTGGAGCTGGCCTTTAATCCTAGCATTCTAGAGGCAGAGACAGGTGGATATCTGTGAGTTCAAGGCTAGCCTGGTGTACAGAGTGGGTGCCAGAACAGCTCCATAGCTACACAGAGAAACCTTGTCTTGGAAATAAAAGGTGACAACAGAATTCTAGCTCCTCTAACCTTCTACCACAGGAAAATGGAAAAAAGGTACCATCTTCAAATGAGAGACAACCTTACTAGATGTAACCTGCCCTGCCTTTATCTTAAACTTCCCAACTTACACAATTATGAGAGAAAAAAGTGTCTATTATTTGAAAATTGTCCCATCTAAGATATTTTGTTATAGCATCCACAATGGACAGACACCCCCAAGACTTACCCCTTGTACTTGGGAGGCATCTGTAGCAAGCCTAGTTGTTAGAACTCCAGGGTTATTTCTGAGGTCATCAAACCAGCCAATGTCTTGTCCTAACATAGCTTTGAACCCATATTTACGTAGCCTCTTTGTAAGGAGCTCCCCAGATTTGGCAAAAGTGTAACCCTGAAGCATAAAGAAGGAGTCTCTGATGAGATTTTTACATGAAAATAGGGGGAAATAGCCAAATAACCTGATGAAAATAAATTACCTGCAAAAACTGGGTGAAAATGGATACACAGCCCAGAACGACAAAAAATAGACACATGTTGCTAATCTCTGACCTTTGTTCTTCTTTATCAGGTATCGAAAAAATCTTTAGAAGATAGTAAGGAAGAAAGTTTGTTATTATAAGTAATAACAAAATAAATACATTTAATATGTTCGGTTAAATGTGCACATTTGTCCAATCCCATAGAATGTCCAGTAAGAGTGAACCCCAGTATCAATACATATTAAAGATGAGAGAACCATGGCCTGTCAGTGCAGTGCATCCACAGTGCATCCACTGTGGCCTAGGATGCTGGTGATGGAGAAAGGCAGGGGCATATGGGAAATCTCTGAGACTTTCTCGTAATTTTGCTGTGAAACTTTTAAAAGATGACTTCACTTTAAACACACTAGTTTTTAAACCAAAGTTAGTGATCAACATTATGGTGTATTATTTTTAATCTCCTATGTGTCAGGGTTCCTGGAAATTTTAAACCAATGGCAACAATTATGGAAGTCCTCCCGATCCCCTGTTGTGTTGATTTAAGCAGTGGTGTTAGCTTTTATCCTGACATTGGTGAAAAAAGAAAAGATATTCAAATAAAATTATCTTTTAAGAAATAAGGGGCAAAAAAAGGGAAGAAGGGAAGGAGGAGGAAAAGAAGAAAAGGGGGACAGAAGGACATTACTGAGAATTTGAGAATCCAGGCGTCTGTGGAAAAACATGGTTATTATTTCAGTTCTTACTTCTCTCAAATAATGGGCACAAGAAAGATGACTTTTAGACTCAGGTATCCTATATTTTACTAGTC